CTGAGTAAGAAGGCAGATGAAAAACAGAGGCACGTTCCTGTTTGTTATTTTCTTCTTTCTGAGTTAAATGGTTTTAATTGTGTTTAATCAGTTGCGGGTAACTCATGTAGGTGACTGAAGAAGAGTTAAACTCTTGCTGCCGGAGCTCCCACCCACTCCAGCGCACTGAGATTTCTGTGCCCCGAGATCTTCCTCCCAGAGAGGCAGCAGTGGAGGGGAGGCTGCAGCAGGGGCTCCGGCAGCTGCAGGCGGCAGCAGAGGCACGGTGTGGCTGTACTCAGTGGTGCAGCGTGAACGTAACTGCTGAGTAACTGCTGGGCATGTCTGGCAGAGAGTTTTCGGGAGATGCAGATGCTCCGTGGCCCCAGCTGGGCAAGGTGCTGCTGCTAAAGCTTGTCCCCCATCAGATAATGGTACTGTTAGCTTTGAAGTTAGCTTAAGGAAAGGAAATATTCTGAATTAAGTGCTGCTGCTTGGTCATTTCAAGGTAGCTAATATGTTCAATCAAAAGATGAATCTGAATTGCCAGCTTAAATTTCACTATTGCATATGACTCATAAATCACAAATACTGTGCAGCCATGCTCTTTACAAGTACTTGTTTGCAAGTCTCAGTGTAGAGGCAAAGGGGAAGGTAAAGGGTGTTTCGGCTGGATCTGGTGCCAGGGCTAATGCCACCCAGGCAACCTCATGGGTCAGGGGCAAGTGACAGGTTATGTAGTGACATGTGAAACTGGTGAAAAGCAATTCCACATGAGGTTGGTAGGGGACAAGGGGAAGCTCAGGCTGGAGTTGCCCCTGGAGCCAAATGTTGGAGCTCCACGTCCCATCGCATCTCCTGGCAGTCCCTGCTGCTGGTGGAGTGCAGCTCTGGGCTGTGCACTGCCCGGTACCCGCCATGCCGTGCTGCTCAGCCCGGAGGGAGCAGGGCAGGCAATGGGGCTGTGACCCAGCCACCTCTCCTGCACAGGAGCCCCACAGGGTCATGGCTCCCTTCCCCAGAAAAAAGGTTAATGTGGTACCCAGGCCCTCATCAATCTGATATGGATCACGCAGGAGCGCTGCATCGGTAAGTATATAACGTGTTTATTTACATTACATTACTTGCCCTCAAAATTCAACCCTTTTAATGAATGTAAGTGAACCCAATTTTCTTTTATATTTCAGCATTTCTATTATAAAGAGATTTAATTTTTTTAAAAAAGAAGTCTTTCTGTTTCCAAATGCTCCCTTCAGTAAAGAGCAGCTGCAGAAGGAATTGGTTTGACCTCTGCTTGCTTAATTGCTTTTTGTTCTGTGTTAGCCTAGAAATGGATGTTGCTATTGTGTAAATTACTGTGATGGTAGAAAAAGAGCTCATGACATCAGGTGTGTAGTTTCTGTCAGGAAAATAGGTTTCTTAAATGGAAAGCAGTGTCTTTCTGTCCATAATCAGAGTCTGGGTCAGTCTGAAACCCCAAATGATAATTACCTCATTTTCTGCTTCAGAGCAGCTCCATGGAGTTACTGGGGGTTTTGTGGCTAAGGGAAGATTTAATCTGAAATCTACTCTGAGCTCCTGTCAGACTCTGGAAGGAGAGGCTCAGACATCAGGGAATACAGCTCTGTCTACTTGTACCATAACCTGGGCTCAGCGTGTGCTGCAGCACCAAACTGCTGTCCCATGGGCTGGACCACAGAGATGTCACCTCTACCTGCTGTGGAAGAAGCTGAAAGGAAAGAGCAGGAGCTTTTCCCCTCCTGAGGCTGAAGGCGTGAGCTTGGTCTCAGGCCTTCCTGTGGATGCCTGCTGCTTCGGCAGCTCCCTTTCAGCCAGGGCAGGTGTCAGCTCCTACAGGTCTCCTTTCCAAGCTGTTCTCAGAAGAGCTGCTGACAGCAACAGGGAAAATCATGCTCCTGAATGTAAGCAGAGAAAATAGCTTATTTTTGTAGTACCAGCTTCAGCACCTTCCCTTAGGCAGGGTCCACACAACACCTTCATGCAGCTCAACCACCAGCAAATTTGCCTAGCAGATACTATTTAAAGAGGTCGTTTAAAGAGGGGAATAAAGCAATTAGCCTCCAAGAAAGGCATGTCCTTGAGTTTTAAAGGCTTGTGAACCGAGAGTATGGCTGAATTTCTGGCACACAAAGATCACTCATCTTTTCAGAAAGCTGCTACAGTGAAGCTGCAAGGTTGTGTACCAGAGGTTGGATCTAGTGCCGCCTCTTATGGTCTGTGTGTGAATAAGCATTTAGCCTTGGAAAACGGTGGAAGAAGAATACAGCAGCTCAGATGTCATCTGTCATGTTCCTGGAATACGTAGAGGACTGCTTCCTCACACAAATGTTAGATGTGCCAGCCAGGAATGAGGTACAGCTGGACTTGTAGCTCACAAACCAGGAAAACCTGCTTCGTAGTACCTCAGTTACTGACAACCTCGGCTGCAGTGATCCCAGTATTGTGGAGTTTGGGATCAGGCAGAGCATGCTGAAGGTTAGTGTAAAACAAAGGCTTTGGATTTTAGAAGAGCAAACTTTAGGTTGCTTAGAGCTCAGCTGGGAGGGATTCTGTGGGAAGCTTCTGCTATTTTGTGATTCTCTGAATGTCTTCCCTGTTCTTCAGCAGTAAGTCTACCTTTGTGCTATCTAAACTAGTTAATGATAGAAGCAACAATGCTTGTATAATTAGCCTGTTAATACCCTAGAGGAATTAACATGCTAATTACCTGACATGATGACATGAGCAAGATGCTTTAGAAAAATTCAGAGTACTTGGATCAACAATAAAATAAAGGTTAGCACACCTACCCGTTTTACAGTCCTGCCATAGATTGGTTTTGAAGAATTGGTGTGCCTTGGGTACTTCTCCACTCTTAATTTACCCTGTGATTAATTGATGGCTTTTAAGGCTTCTTGGCTTAAATTACTTGGTATTGTCTCCCAGGATTAGGCTTCATCTTCTTTCATTCTGGAAAAAAAGAATGGAAAAAAAAAGAAGGGGGGAAAAAAATCCTACATGAAAAATTAAGGAGGCGTTTGGTTTAGGGGTACTTTTATGTGATTCTATAACAATATTTGATTTCTGTAGGATAATAAATCATAGCAGGACGTTTAGCACAGTCATGCTAGCTGCACTTGTGAGCCCTTGCTTTGTAGGAGAACTCATTAATAACTGACAAGCTGTGTACTAGCTGGAGATGGATGGCTTAAAATTCTTCACCACGTCCTCAAAAGGCCTTTCCAAGTAACACCAACCTGGCCTCTTGACAGGGGCACTTTCTTGGCAGCACATTGCAGAGAGCTGATAGCGTCACCCCTAGATAAGTGATGGTGACAAGCAGAGGAGATGAAGTCTTCCTGACAGGGGTGGTACCCCTATTCATTGTTAACTAGTTCGAAGGTAAACTTACAATGGTCTGAGTTGCAGGGTAGTTGCTATTCAGTGTAATTGTTTGGAGACTTAATTTGGACATTTGAAGGGTTGCCATTACCAAAAATGTCCCCAGATAATTTGATGAGCAGAAGCATTTCTGCCCATAAACTGTCTGTGCCAGAGCTGTCAGAAGGTATAAAGTGAGATGTAACCTTGTACAGCTTGTTTTGGGAATGCGCTGGCAGGTAGTACTTGCATCACTCAGAGCAAGATCCCATACTAGTGCAGTAGCTAGGAACCAGCCTTTGCAGAGAAAGGAGATGGTAGAGATACTGAGTCAGATGTATGCTAATTACACTAATTGTGGGACAGGTATAATAGGAAACACACAGCCTTGACAAAGACGTGTGGCTAAAAGCGAGGTCGGTGCCTAGTGTTCGGTGTCCTGCCTGCCTGGAAGCGTGTGTGCTGCATCAGGGCATGCTGCCATGTGGGATCCCAAATGTGGCTTTGCTGCCAGCGCTGGTTTCCAGCAGCCCTGGGGAGCTGGTGCTGCTGGCAGGGGCAGAGCTCGGCTCCACGCCAGGCTCACAGCTCTATGCCAGGGTGCACTCCCCCTTTGAACTTGCTCTTGCTGCACAAGTCTGTGTGGATTTGGAGTCCCTGCAGACATTTGTTCTTAAAAATCCCTCTCTTCCCTGAGGAGATATTTAAATCCTCGGTATTCCAGCCAGTGCCTGTGGATATTCTGGCTTTAGCTTGCACAGACTCTTCATTCAACTTTCTAATGAACTGAGGCGGGGCTTCAGTTTGTAGAATGCAAAGTGCTTTTGCTTCTGTCCAGCGGGAGCATGCTGACTTTCCTGGGATCAGGCCCATCATTAGAGTTTGCTGCTGTCTGCGGTGTTTAGTTCCAGGAGACTGGGCTAATCCAAAGGTGTTGGGTTGATGTCTCTCCCTTGGTTGCTTTCCTAGACTTTTAACAAGTAGTTGCAGTGATAATTATGGCAAATTGTTTCTGTATAAATATCCTGCTGACAGTCTTTAGGTGTGTGGTTCCTGTCTGGGTCGGGAAGGCTACCAATTAGCCTGGAATGGTTCATGGCATTTGCATTTGGAGGAGGACAGTTTGAGATGCTGCTTCTTCCTTTACTCAGGTGTAGACTGCTTGGCTGCTTTCACCATTTCACGATGCCCAGGCGAGCTTTTGGCATGTCGTTACCTGATGTAATTCTACTTCAAAGCAAGGTTGGACAGGGCTTTGAGCAACCTGGTCTAGTGGAAGGTGTCCCTGCCTCTGGCAGGGGGTTTGGAGATGGATGAGTTTTAAGGTCCCTTCCAGCCCAAACCATTCCATGATTCTACTTTACCTGTTCTTGCTAAATACCATGATAACTGTGGATTTGTGTCTTGGTTTTGTGTCTTGTTTGATGTGAATTGTATTTCAGTCACTAGTACAGCTTGTCTTATCCCTTTCACACTCTTGATTTGGTCTCTCTAACATTTTTGAGTTATATACCAAAACCACTAGCGTCTGGTGTGCTGTGTGAGGGGGCATTTGCAGATGTTTGGCTTTCCAGGGGCAGGGCTGTGGGTGGACAAGCAATGCTGTTACCCTGACCAGTGTCTGTCTCGGCTCTCTCCAGTGTATGGGCACAATGTGAAGAGCAGCAACGACTTCATCGGGAGGATCGTGATTGGGCAGTACTCAACAGGGGCCCCCGAGTCCAACCACTGGCGCCGGATGCTCAATGCGCACCGGACGGCCGTGGAGCAGTGGCACAGCCTGCGGTCCCGGGAGGAGTGCGACCGCGTGTCTCCAGCATCCCTGGAGGTAACATGAGGTGGGGACTAACAGCAGCCAGGCCAAGAAGGTGGACAAGGCAAAAGAGTAAACCACCAACCGAACCACCCCACCTCACACCCTACATGCACCCCACAGCAGCTCTGTTGGATTGAAGCGGTTGCCGGCACCCAACCGGCTGCGCTGGCCTCTGTGAACCATGTTCCACTGGGTCCTGGCTGTTCCCCTGGGGCCACCAGCGTCCCTCCTGGCTGGACCTCTCGCTGCTTGCACCCAGCACCGCTCGGCTGTTCGCATCCCATGTGGCAGAGCGTGGCAGGGCTGTGCATGGAGGTGCTGCAGCAAGTGCTGAGCGGGTGGAGGAGTTGGGAGTTGCCTCCGCTGTCCTTCCAGTCCCAATCCATGGCTCATCCTCTCGGAGATATAAGTACCTGTGTGCTCTCGTTGGTGAACGTGGTAATTAGGCTAGAATATTTTTTTAAGCGGTAGAACCTGTGGTGAAATCGATTCTGACTCCAGTTTTGTCCTTGTACTAGTTTTAACAGAATTAAGCTCCTGTTAGTACGTACGCGTACATGTGTGTGCTGGGGCACGCGTGCGGCCCCGTGGCCCCGCGTCAAACAGGTCCGATGTCATGTCAGCGGTGAGACTTGCCACTCGATAGCAGCCTGTGTGTGTCAAGTAGATACAGTGATGATGTAGCAAAGTAAACATTTCCAATAGCATTTGTACTGGGAAAGCCAGCTCATGTCTTTTCAAACCTGTGTTGTGCAAAAGAAACCTGCTGTGGGGACTTTTGCGGTTAAGAAGACCCAAAATACACAATTTTAATTCTCTCACAGACTGCAGTGGCTCTTTCTGTGTTGTGTGTGTTAACCCAGGTAGTTCTCCAGGTCACCAAGTGAACTTAGCTATGGTCAAGCTGTCCTGTTGGTTGCTTCTGTACATTTTATTTTTTCACAGCATATTGTCTGGTATAATGCAGATTGTATATTTATTGAAAATAAAATTCTATTTAATTGTGGCACGTAGACTGGGGTGATACTTGCTGGCAGAATCTGTCTTTGTGTGGAGCTCCATCAGTCATGTTTATGGCACAAGAAAAGCCAAAATGTTGGCTTTTACTCTCTTGTTATTCACTGCAGATGAACCATTTGAGAGAAACTGGGGACTGGCTGATGGAGATCAGTCAGGTCCATTGGCTTGGCCCTGCATGGTTCCCAACCAGAATACATTTGACACTCTGCAGGTTGGACATGTCAAGTCTCTGCACCAGGCTCTGGGTTTTGGTTATTTGCAGGGGTGGGCTTCAATTATTATTTTTTATTGCTCTATTTATTAATATTGAGACTGCATAAAAATCTGTGTCTTGCTTACAGCCCATTCAAGAAATGGAGCAGAAAGGCCATCACCCTGAAGAGAGCAGGGGCTGGCTCATGAGTTTATTGTCTTTCCATATCTTCATTTTGGAGGAGAAGGGATCTGTTCTGTCTGTCAGTAGTATTTATCTGTGTTGGACTGGGAAACCTCACAGTGGTTTATGGATGGGTTGGCTCTGCTGCCACATCAGTGCTGCTGTGGTGGAACAGAGGTGTGGAAGGGCCCTGGGCTCTGGCTGTGTCTGCTACTTAGGTGACCTATGAAGTTGCTGGGGGTAGCCCATGGCCTCTGCAGTGGCTCAGGCCCATGGACCGCTCCATGCACCCTGCAGCGCAGAGCCTTCCTGCAGCCATGCTGGTCCCTGGGTTCCAGAGATAACCATCCAGAGCTGGCATGTGGTACGGCAGGCAGCAGCCATCTCCCTCCCCTCTGCTCATCAAGTGCAGCCCAGAACGAAATCCTGTTACCTCCTTACTTTTAATATTTTGATTTTTAGAAAGAAAACAATACATACATGTGACTATTTCACCTCCATTTGTTGTTTAGTTGCTGTGGTTAGGGACAGGCGAGTCTTAAAAAGCTTAGTGCTTGTTTGGGCAGATGTCTGTGTTGGTCAATATCCTAGCTGTTGTCCAGGATGTCTGTGCTCCAGTGTGAAGGTCTGTGTTGTAACTCTGATACCAGAGATCCCTGCAGCATACCTTTGGCCTGGGACCTGCTCCAGTTTACATTGCTGTGGGTGTTTTGTTCTCTTCTGCGCTCAGAGCATCATCATGTGTGTTCTCCATGCAACACCCAAGTCTGATATGGTGACCCTGTCATTGTGGAGGAAGGAATGCAGAGAATGAAAGGAGGCTGCAAGAGATGCTGTCTCCATTCTGCATTTAGAAGTCATCTCTCAGTGGCTGGGGGAGAGTGAAAGTGCAGACACCCTGCTCCTGGGCAGAGCACAGCATGGCTTTGGATAGAAGATGGCAAAAAAGGGCCTTGGTGACCTTGTTGCTGAACCTTCTCCCAGTTGCTGTGGCTAGGGGTGAATACAGGTAGGAGCTTACCTTGTTGGTGTGGTTGTGCATGCTGTCCCCTCGTGAAACACCTTCCCTCCTCACTGACCACAGCACATGGCTCCAGCACAGCTACATGTGTTGGCAGCACAGAGTGGTGGGGACAGTGGTTGCTGCAGGGCTGTCCATAGGCATCCTCTTTCTGAGAGTATTTTGGATGGCAGGTTTCAGTTCTAACCTGCCTCTCTGCAAGGTGAAATTCCTCCTCTGTCTTGCAATGAGGTTGATGGCAAACCTCTGTTCTCTGGCTTCCTCCTGTTTTGTCTCATCAACAAATCATGGTGGAGAGTGAGCCCATGGGGTGTCCTGGGAAAACATGCACTGTAGGAGGCCAATCTCTTCCTGTAACTCAAAAAGGCTCAGACAGGGGGCTGTGGTTTCAGCAGTCACTGCCATTGACATTAAGGTTCTTCCATGTGGTGTCTGTGGGCAGCAGCAAAAGCTCTGGCATCTGTGGAAGCTGATCTGAGACCTGCCACATTCTTTCCTCAAGCACTGGGTATGAAAGTTAACAGAAGGCACTCTTGTCCATGAGTCTGTCCTTGGAGCCATGAGGTATCTGCTTCACAGGGAGGGGGTGTCATGTACATATGATGCCAAACATTGGTAAGGGAACCCTGAGGAGAGGTCATTAAAAACAGGATGGAAGCACACTGAGGAGCTCCCAACCTGGAGGGCAATAAGAAAACAGCATGAGGAGGGAGAGGAGCAGAAGGGCTGAGTACATGAGACGTGGCTGTGCTCCTGGGGCTGCAGCCAGCAGGTAAAACTCATCTCATGCTTTGTGGAATCAGCAGATAACCCCAAGTGCAGCTGGAGCTGCAGCCAGCTCTGTGTGCACGACGTGTGTGTACTCTCCTTGTGCTGGGAGCAAAGCTGGTTTCCAGCTGCTGTGCTGGGCATGGGGGGCTCGGTGCTCCCCCTGCGCTGGGGGGATGCTGCTGTGGTGGGTCTGCTGCTAGAAACAGCGTTGAAGTTAATCTGGGTCTCCCTTTTTAAGCATAAACACTTGTGCTTTGGGAGTAGATTAATATGCTCTAAGAGTTTTGTTTCATAGTTTGCTGATAATTGCTTGCAACACTGGTTGTATCTGGGGATGGCACACAGTTAAGAAGGGAGAAGGCATGCCTTGGTTTCTAATAATCAGAATTCCTTCATTTTTAGTGCTCTGATACATCATTAGGCTTTTCCTTGAGACATACAGTTCAGATGAATGTATGGAATTGCAAATAGGAGGACAGGGGGAGGAGTTTTCTTAGAAAGTTTTACTTAATGCAAAGAAAATTTAATATATGAAAGTTGGTTGAATTAGTTACTGTCTCTGGAGTAAGTCTGGATGTTTTACTGTACTGAAATCTTTGTGTCACCCCAAACTGTTTCTACTTGAATTGCACCTGTAAAAACTGGTCATCCCAACTGAAGTCCCAGAAAATGCTGAAAACTTTCACCTGTAGCTGATAATAAAAAGGGAATACCATTGAGTGTGTTCCTAAGCAGTTCATTCAATGCTGATTTAAGGCATAAATTGAAAATGGAGCAGGACCACAAAATTCCATAGTATTTTGCCTACACTGTTTCCCTGACCAGTGCGACAGCTACAACAGGACTTCATACAACATTTTTGAAAATCCAGAGTTTATTTCCAAAACCAGTTTGAGCACATGAAGGAGACATGCTAGGTAATACTGACTGTTAACAGTACGGACTGCTGAAGGTTTTCTGCTGTTACAGGACTGCATGGACCTGTAGATGGGCAGAGTGTGAGTTCCCAAACCAGCCTCATACCTGTGGCACACGTGGTGGTGCCCTCTTCCAAGATGTTTTATTGTGTCAAAGCATTGCCTGTCCCTGGTTATAAATAAATAAATAAACAAAAGCACAAAACTGGTTAAATCTCAGAATTACAGGCTGTGCACAAGGCCGTGCTCCCCTGCAGCCCTGGACACCCCTTTTTTTCTGACCTGGGGTGCCGGGCAACTGCAGCTTCCCTTGTGTTAACACAGCCGTTGCTTCCAGCTCCTAACCCTGTCCTGTGCTTGATGCACAGTAGGCAAAAAGAGGCACGTTTTTCAGTCTTCCCAAGGGGAAGGTCTGTCTTGAGCCCCTCTCTGTGCCTGGCTGCTGATGCCCACCAGCATCCCTGCAGGGAAGGCAGCCAGCTGGGCAGTGCTCAACTGGGAACATGTAATCATGTCTCAGGAAGCAACTGGGGGTAGATAAGGGATTTCCTCGCTTGCTTGCAGCGTGTGACAAAGGTTCTCTGGGAGGAGATGTGCACCCCATGAGCCAGGCTGTGAGCGAAGGTCTGGGCGCAGGTCCCTCGGGGTGGGATGCGATGAGCGCGACCGGGATCTGGCAGCGCGGGTGGGAGGTGTGTGTTGCCGGGAGAGCCGCTGTTTTGGGGGAGGGAGCAGCACAGTGCCTATATCCAGCTCCGCGCCGGCCGCTTCCCTGGCACAGCCGGGAGGTCCCGGACAGAGCGCTGACCTCGGGAGCCGGCTGCCTGCGGGGCTGGGGAGCTCTGTCCTTCCTCCCAGGCCATGGGCACCGCGTGGGATGTGTGCGCTCTCCTCTCCGCGGCGTTGCTCGCTGCCCAGGCTTTCCCCCAGACCAACATAAAGATCAGCCAAGGTGAGTGCAAAGCATTGATCGCGGCTGGGGGTAAAGGTAACCCTAAACTGTGGTGGCTTTAGTTGGGAAAGGAGGGTGTGTACCTCCTGCAGGGTCAGCAACTGGCTTCCTCCTTTCTCTGACTGCTCCACAAACCTCTGACTTGCCTTGAAACCAACTTTCTTGCAGGGACATGCCAAGAGCAGCACCAGCCTCTCTCTCCTGGGCTACAGAGGTTGTCTCTGGGCTGGCTTTGTTTCTGTGTGCGAGAGACTGCACTTTCACCTTCAGCAACGTGTGCTCGCGTGGCATGGTGCTGTGGACCTTCAGCTGTCCCCATCGTGTGCAGATGGCAGGGGCAGAAATAACTGCAGGGAGGCACACGTGTGAGCAGTGCAGCCACACAGCCTGGCAGGACAGGCTGGGGGGGGCACGGGAGCAGGGCAGCCACACAGCCTGGCAGGACAGGCTGGGGCGTCCACTGTGGCTCCTCATTTTTTTACTCATGCTTACTATGTGTGAAAAGTGGCCACAAATATGTGATTCCTCTTATTTCCTCCTTATTTTCCTGAGCTGTTGGTGATGGTGACTGCTATATGTCATGTTCTTGTGAACTTTTTGATGGGGTTCGTGCAAGTGAGAGTCGCTGCTCTTAGTTTGTTCGCACGCTGCTTAGATTTATTTGGGAATGTGAGCAGAAAGGGACTCCTGGAGTGTCGTTCAGTGAGTTTGTGAGAAAAAAAGATCGATACTAGCCCAGCTTTCCTGCCAGACACCTGATCTGTGGGAGCTTGGCCAAAACTAATTAAGGAGGAAAAAAACCTCTGCAAGATAACTCCTATCTATTAGTGCCGGCTGCAGGAGGGCTGCTGTGGTGTCTGCTGTAGCCTCACAATGCCGAACGTACCTGGCAGAAGATTGGAAGCTGTAAAACCAGCTTGGTTTCATTACAGGAGTCTAAAAAGCAAAGCCCACTGTGTGAAAGGATGTCACTTCCAATGTGCTTCAACTGGTGTTTAATATTTTACTTAGAAATTTGTAACATGTGCCTAAAGAACCTCTTTAGAGAGTGTAAAATATTGCCCAGTTATTAAATGAGCTTCACGTCCATCAGTGGATACCATCCCCTGCAGCTCCGTATGTCCCCCCAGGCACACAGAGGCCAAAACCCCATCCCTGATCTGCTTGTTTTGAAGGTGTATGTTAAGCGTGAGACTTTGTCATCTCTTAATGAAAGACAAATACTGTAAGTAACATGAAGGTGGGATTGTTTGTCTGTAATGACTATAGTGTCAGGGCTTAAGGATGTGCTCCTAAAGCCATGGATGACATCACACAATAGTGCTGTCTCAGCCCCTGCTACATGCTCCTGCCCATAGAACCCCTGTTTTAACCCCTTATACTTAAGGTTTATTCAATAAAGAGTGTGTGGGCTGGTTGTGTTGAGGCTGTGGTGGGATGGAAGTCCGGTTCAGCTGGCACTTTGAACCCCCTAGCTGAAGCTGTCCTGGGGCTCCCCTGTCCCAGCCCTGTTGTCTCACCCATCTGCTATAACTGCCCTCTGCCCCATCAGTGCCAACATTGGATAAAGCCATGCTGCTGGCCTTCCCTGTGGTCCTGTGTGGGTTAGAGGTGATTCGGTGTTGGTGAACACCACGATGCTTGTCCTGAGACCCAGCTCTGACCGTCAGCTGGGGAGGGTTCCCCATCACTTGCTCTTGGCATCACCAGCAGAGGGGCTCTGCAGGCAGCTCTGCCCTGGAAATGACCCAGCCTTCCATGCAATAGAGATCTCCTCAGCTCTTCTCCATTGGCATTAACTTCAGATAAGCCTCTTGAGTGTTGATGGACACCCTCCAAACCCAGCTACTTGCCAAAAGCTGAAGAGGTTCACTTGCTTTTTTCAGGTCAGATGGCAGCATTAGCGTATGGATGTGCCAAGGTATTTCAAGACCATGCCTTTCAGTGAGGTGTCTCTTAATGTATCTAAACTTTGTGGTAAGTCATCAGCTATTGATGAAAAAGAGCTCTTCAATGCTTTGCAACAAGAAGAGCATCTGCTGCCAGCACTGATCTGATCTGCTCTGCTGCCCTTTGATGGAGCTGCAAACCCCCAAGGATTCTTCTTTGCATGGGCATCTCTTGCCAATCCTGTCCTAGCTCCAAATTCGTATCTCAAATCTGCAGATCACTGGAGGCGAGGCACCATTGCACCTTGGGACGAAGCTGTTCAGGAAAAAGCCTGGTCTTCACTAGCTGCATCAGTGGGAGCCACACAGTTGGTATTTTATCTTTATCAGTAGCATCCTGGAATAAAAACAACTTATGATACCGGTTGGGATTTTCGCAGTGAATTACTTCTAATTGGAAACTCGCCATGTGGGGAAGAGAAAGTTTCTGTCAGAGCAGTGCCAGCTTCTGCAAGACATTCTCAAGTGATTTTCCTGGTGGTTCTGCAGTGGGTCTCACCTAGTAAAGAAAATAAAAGGCTCCAGTTTTGTTGGCACTGACACAAACGCACAGAGCATGAAACTCTTTTTCTGACCCAAAATTCTTGTTTTCCAGCTTTTCTGAGTTAGTAACAGCTGCCTGATATGAATCTTATCCTCAGCCAGGTCAGGACATCTATTTTGCTGGTGCTGTGTTAAAACATGGCCCTGACATTAAAACTGCTGCACTGTAAATAAGCAAAGGAAGGAAGACCCCCAATAAAGCAGCACCCCCAATTGTTCCTGCCTGTAAAACGGGGAGCAATAGTTCTCCAAAGAGACAGCCAAAGCCTCTGATCCTGACCTAAGAGAAAAGATGCTAATTAAATGCTGACCTCCTGTATTTACCTTTTTGGTATATTTAACCTTAAATTCCTCCAGGCACCTCTGGTTCACTGAAGCTCATCAAATTAATACTACCTAATGGGAAGCAGTACGGAATAACAAAGAAGGACTGTCTCATTCTCTGACTCAGTTTCAGCTCCTCTGAACAGAAGGAAGGTGATTTTCCTGGGCAACAGGGGAGCCGATGGAAGTGGCTCAGAGCCAGGGCACCAGGACTCCTGGTGCAATTAGCACTTGGGAGCGAAGGGCCCCGTTTGCTGGGATGCTGCTGGGTTAAGCCCTGTGAATTTTGCCACCATGCTGCTGGAGGTGAAGAGTTCGTCGAGGAGCTGCATGGTCTCTGTAATAAATCCCAGTTGCTTCAGGAGCTGGTGGTGCCTGTCTGCTGCAGACCCCCGGGGTGCCCTCAGCAGGAGGGAGCAGCAACCAGTCCTATCCTGAATGGGGGGAACATGGTTCATCTGTGTTATGGTGGTGAAGCTACAGCCTCATCCCATGGGTTTGACCGTCTTCCCTGGCTCTGCTTTGCTTTTGGTGGGGACAGGAACCCCTGGCCAGCATCACAGCGGAAGGAGGGCGTGGGTCCCAGGAAATCGTGTTCCTGGTCCTTCTGCTCTATTGCTACAGTAGAATAATTTGCATTTCCTGGGGCTGTTCTAAGGGTTTTCCAAATGCAAGGATGGCCATGTACGATTCAGAGAGCTGAATCCTGCATTGCCATTGAGCTGGCTGCAGGTTGGCTGCCCTCCCCTAAAACTATTCTTCTTCCCCAGCCTGGTATGTCTTATCTTTTTCCTCTGCAGCCCATGAGGATGGGAGAGCCCCTCAAGCTCCTCTTTGCTCTTGGTGGGCTTGTTGCTGTGAGGTGCAGAGCTGCTCCCAGCTATGAATCCTCCAGAGGGGGTGTCCAGGGGTGATAGCCCCACAGGGCTCTGCAGTCAGCTTGGCCTCTGCCCCTTTCTCAGGAGGTGAAAAAAAAAGGCTCTTTGCGTCTGTGGTTTATTGCCTGGGGAGTGTGTATGACAGGAGGGACCCAAGGGCTGGCTGGCGGCTGTTTGTGAAACACTCAGAGATCCCTGCGTGGAAAGAGCTGATGAAATACGAAGTTATCATCTGGAGCTGTCAGCACTAGTGCAGGGAAGGATTCAGCTCTGGGAACGCTCCCACCACTGCTTGGAATTCACCTCACATCTCCTGTTCCCCATGGTGATGCTGCCACCACTGCTTCCACAACCTATGCAGCTGCTGGTGGGGTTTTGCTCTCCTCACCCTCAGGGAAAGCCATTCCCCAGCCCCTCAGTATCCACGGTGCTGTAGCACCACCCTGACCTCTCCAGGCTTGAACCTGTTACCTGCTTGGATAATTTCATGGCATCTGACATCTGCCATCAACCCCTGCTCCCCCTGTCCTGCCCGCCTCACTCCAGCAGCAGCACTGACCATGGACCAGGACCCCATGGAGACGCAGGAACTGACTCTGGGGGAGCTGGCAGTTGCCCAAGGCTCTAACACCAGGAGTTAAGAGAGTTAAGCCAATGTGACACAAGATTTGGGGGCTGCATTTGCATTAGTGCTGGGTGGTGTGGTGTGTGTGTGCTGCATCCTCCCTGCAAGATGTGGGGAGCGTGACTTGGGGGAGGTCAGAGGGATGTCTTAACACAGCTGCAGTGTTTACACAGCGGCAACTGCAAAGGCTCCAGAAATGTGTCCTGCCCCTGAATGGCCTCTTTTTGGGTAACTTCCCTGCTGTGCTGAAAGGTGGTGAGGGATGAGGATCAGCTCCATGGGCTCCAGCTCTTATCTGGCGGTGGGAGTCAGATAGGCTGGCACCGCTCCCGGCAGCATGCTCCTCACCCAGCTATTTATGGGCCTGAACCTGAACACGTGCGTACATGTACGGCTGTGTCTGGACCCAGGAACACAGGGGATGGTGAGGGGGTTACTCGAGGAAGGAGGTGCAAGTTGGTCTTGCAGGAGGGCAGATCGTGGCCATAACCCTGCAGCCCCTGGCTGTCAGCTCCCATCCAAGCACTGCTGCTCCAGTAGTGCCTGGTAGAGGTGACAGGAGCCTTATCTTGGTTTTCCCAGCAGCAAATATCACTGCCTTTGTTTCAAGCACTCTCTGATTGAACCAATGTCAAACTGGTTTGAACTGTTCACCCTTATTTAGGCAGATGCTAAAACTGAGGAACCCATTTTACAAAATGTGGTTTGGCTTTTGCAAACTTCTGTGTGGTTTCTGCAACAGTTGTTTTTACCATGCGTGTGTTTGGTGGTTATTTGCCCTGAGTGAGGGAGAGCCAGGCTGGGCACTGTTGCCTTCACTGCCTGCTCGGCTGCCCAGCCACTCTGCTTTACCATCAGCTGCTGGATGTCTTCTGCTCTGCCCCCAGCCATGCCGGAGCCTGTTCATGCCTACTCCTGCCCGCTCTTCTGGACAGAGTATGAGGGCCATTGCTACCGGTACTTCCCCATCAACAAGACCTGGGCTGAAGCAGACCTCTATTGTGCCGAGTTCTCCATTGGCATCAGATCAGCCAAGCTGACCTCCATCCACAGGTGAGGGGTGCAGAGACATGTTATCCCACTCTGGCACAGCCTGGGGAAGAAGACAAATGGGGACAAAGTCTCATGCCCACAGCACAACCTCTGGGCCAGCTGCAGGGTCATGTCCCAGCCTCAGCATCCCTCTGCAGCAGCAACTGGGTCAACTCTGATGCACTGGGCACACTAAAGTGATGTAAAAAATGCCTTTTCCTGGCCTGGCAGGAAAACTGATGTAGTATTCCCTAAATTTCCTCAAACTGTGGTTTTTATTCTTGAAAAAGGGATAGAAATACAACATGATTACACAGGCTTTTTCCTCCATTCCCTCTCCCCCAGCTCTCCCACACTACACACCTCTTGCACACACCCAGGAAAGCAATCAGCAGCAATTAGATGACAGGAACCCATTTGGCCATGCCACAGGGCAAATGCTTAGGGCATGACTGACCATTTGCCTGACACACCCCCTCAGTGGCTCCATATTGCTCTTTTTTCCAGCTGGGAAGAAAACGTCTTTGTGTATGACCTGGTGAACAGCCGTGTGCCGGGTATCCCCACCGACATCTGGACAGGACTCAATGACCTGCGGCAGGTGAGAGCTCCCTGCAACCCTGTGGGGAATGGCTTTGAGAATTTCACTGCCCCACATTTTCCCCTGGGAAAGCCACTTGGTTTTCTTCTTTATTCCTTATAGCCCCATTGATAGGTAGTGGTGTAGGGTCTGTGGTGCAGCACATGGGGGAAAGTTGTAATTTCATCCCCTCCGGTCTGCTTTGGAATGATAAGTGTTACTGGAATTGATAGACTGATAATTACTGCTTATTCACCGTATTTTATGAACGGGTTAATAGAAGGAGTATTGTACTGCTGGTCCAAGAAGAGCAAATAAACTAAAAACATCTCCAATGTCAAATATCACCAAGTTTCACTGCTTTCTTGTGATAGTCTGTAGCTTTTCAAAGCTGACATTGGGAATAGATAGTCTAATATGCAACAAAGAAAAATTGAGACCATCAGGAGAACAGTCTGATGCCAGCAAATGTTTTGTAGATATTGGGAAAGCAATGGAAAAGGAAAAGGAACACAGAATTGGGTGGATGTGTTAAAAAATATATGGGTTTAATTTCTGGGCTTCCCCTGGTGAGAACACCGAATACTGGGGCTTTCCAGGGTAAGTTTGCAGTTGTAAAATGCAGACAAGCCATTTGGCCTTTGCTGAGTGGTGACAGCCTCTTCCCATGTCCCGGGCTGTGTGGTACTGGGGATGGATGTACATGGGAGCAGGACCCCAACTCTGCAAGTGCTGCTCTGTGAACATGGCCTTTCTCCTCTCACCCTGCACCAGGAGGGTCACTTTGAGTGGACAGATGGCTCCTCCTATGACTACCACTACTGGGATGGCAGTCAGCCCGATGACGGGATCCACTCCATCCCGGAGGAGGAGGACTGCGTGCAGATCTGGTACCGGCACAGCAGCGGTGAGTGCTGTTGAGGTGCCTGGTGTTGAGGGCACCTTAAGTCTTACTTGCATGTCAATACACTAAACCCTCATTTATTCTGAAGAGGTTGCTGGCAGGCTGAGGATTTGCATTTTAATTTTTTATTATTATTTTCTCTTTTCATTGAAGAGAAGGGATGTATTTCCTCTTTCACCACGTACATACATACACACACATGCTCGCTTTCCCTCTGCTCCCAGCCCATCTCCCTCTCCCATAGCAGCAGCAGGAGGGGAGCATCATCCACTTGGGAGAATCACCAAATTTAGCCAAAGGTCAAATTTTCCTATTTCCTCTCCCACACAGGAGGCCCATGGAAACACCCATTGCTTTGACAGCTTTTCCCTCCCTCGCTCAGGCCAGGGGCATCTCACTGTGCAAAAATCTCTGCTTTTGCAAAAATCCCATTTTACACCCCCATTGCCAGTGAGACCAGTCAGGTGTATTCAGGCTCCCTGGACATACCTAAATGCCTGGTCCATGAACAGCCTGTTAATGTTTCGTAGGGTACGGAGCTGTGTTTGCAGCTACCTCTGCGCTACCATGTTTGAGCCTGGGTCAGGAATCCCTGCCAGCATCCCCAGGACAGGGATGGGGATGCTGTGAGGGGACATGGCTGGGAGCAGTGCAAATGGAAGCACATCCAGGGAAAGCCTCCCACCATGGCAGGAGGTCCCAGTCCTGAGGGCGATGCACAGATACCTCCTCAAGCCTTTTCTCATCTAACACCTTGTTTCTTTCGGGGGATAGCACTGCGCTCCTGGAACGACAACGCCTGCAGCAGAGCCTTCCCCTTCGTCTGCAAGATCCCCTCGCTGGCCCTGGACTGAGGCTGCTGGTGCTGCCCGAGCTCCCCTCACTTTGGGTCACCTCTCCAGTGGCAGGGAAGAACAGCCAGGACATGGCATGGGTGGTGAGAGCCGTGGAGCTGCTCAGCATCCCCAGCCAGACCCTGGCTGCAATATCCCCCCTGGAGTCCACGGGGATGAACCTGGTGCTCACCCTCTCCATGGGCAGACAGCAATGGGAGCTGTGTTAAACAGCAAAGAAGCCCCCCAAGCCTGAGCCTGGCTTTGGGTTTCAGATCAGTTATCACGGTGTATTAGAGGAAACTCATGATTTTGCCAATACACTAAACCATTAGCACCAAAAAGCAACCATGTGTAGGAAATTATTCTGCCAGTTCACTTGTGAAGAGTGGAGGAAAAGTGTTATCTTCTGTTAAGTTATACAAAATGCCTCTTGTGTGCTCTATTTTTGTCTCCTCTAAAATAAACAGCAAACAGCATGTGGAGGCTTCTCCAGCTTTCTAGTGCTTGAGTAGCAGTGACTGCCTGGGACATGGGGTCTTTTGCTAAAGGACCTGGTTTTACCCTGATCTGCTGTGGATTAAAAAGGTGTGTTGGGGAATCAAATGCCTGGGAGAGTTCGTTTTATTGACCCCACTGGTTTTTGGGTCCCCAGGCAGGCTGTGTGCACCCCCTGCCCTTCAGCCAGCCCCATCAACCAGACAGCATCACCGCATGGAGTCACTCAGCACCCCGCACCTTCACACAGCAGGTGAGTGGAGTTTGGTCTTGGCTGCTTTGGGCTGAATGAACTACAACAAAGGAAGGTGAAGGCTTATGTGCACCAGCTGAGGGTCAGCCTGCCCTCACAAACCTTCCCTGGTGGGGATTGCTCACAGCTTTTGGTGTGACCCTGTTTCCTACTGAGGTGACACTTGTTCCAACAGTCACTGCTGATGTCCTCTTCTGTGCTGGCACCACACAGGTACTTTTGTCTTCCAGGTAAATCATGTCTAGGGAGATGTGCATGGTTGTGGTGGTGGCCTTGGTGTGCCTTGTCTGTGTTACTTAGCAGGGAGGTGGGACCCTGTCCTTACATGAGGGTGAATTTGCAGGGCTTGGGTGCAAGTGAGGCTGTGATGGTGCCAAGGCCCAAGGGAAGCGCAGTGCTACTGAGGCAAAAACATGCTTCTCCTTCAGGGGATGTGGCTGCAAGGGCACTGCTGGACCCAGTCAAATGCAATAAATCCAATGCTCCCTGCAGAGCCCCTGTGGCGTGACCTCCAGTCCCCCACAGCCCCATGGCATCCAGGTGGCTTTTCAAGAAGCCCTGTGCAGAGGGGGCTGCCTCCCGCTCTGGTCCCTGCCCTCTCTTGGGAATGATGTGTTCCTTCTGTCCCCGCTCCAGCAAAGCCCCAGGGTCTCACAGCACCAAAGCAGCCATGACAGACAGCCCTGGGCTGCCCCATCTCAGCCACTGCCTGTAAAGATGAGTAAAAGCATCCTCGTAAATGTGTCTGGTCTCCCACGATGTCACCACCTTAGAAACATAAGATTTCAAAACTAAGATTTTCCAGAGTGATTACATTGGGTACAATGGTGTAAATAACTGAGGCTCTGCTAGGAATTTGTGATTGCTTCCTCAGGTGTCAGCTCAGCTTTCAGCTAAAATACACTTCCACTCGGGGAGAAACTGCACAACTTGGTGGGAATAATGGTGGTGTTGTAAGTGGAATGTGTGTGTTGGAGCAGGTTTCTAAAATAAAAAATACTGTCATCTCTGGTTATATTTTTTTTATATATGGATAATACATGTAAATAAAATGATATTATTTTTAATGGCTTATGTATATAGGCACACTAGCCATATATTTATATGGAAAGTAAGCAATTTGCCTAGTTTTCAGTCCTAGGCAGGAGACAGCATTAAATGTGGTTTCTTTGAGGCTTTTTCTCCATTTGAAGACAATAAATTACATATGGATGATAAAAGTATGTAAAGAAACCAGCTGCAAGCTAGCAAAATACTGATGTGTAGGATCTGATCTGTAGCAGAAAAAGGGCTTAAGGAAACATTTTGGTCACTGCTCTAGAGATCATCCGTGGATGGGTCCTGAGCCCACTGCTGGCATGAGGACAGCAGGGTTGGGCATCTGCATGGCATGGGACGTGTCTGATTGACCCCTGGTTCTGAGTACTGGAATGTGGTTCTGTCTCTGTGGTGAAGATCAGCCTCATGACAGGGACCAGAGCCAGAAACTCCACAGAACACCCCCTGGGGCTCAGCTGTGCCCAGAGCCCATCACCAGGGCAGGGACAGTTGGGGACCCGGAGGGGTGATGCTGCTGCACAGTGCCAGGGTCTGGTCTAGGCTGCCTCTCCCCAGTTTTCTTTCCCTGTTGCTCCTGTTCCCCTGTTCAGAGGAGCCGGGAGTTCTGCACAGCTGGGGCTCAGTGTGCCTCGAGCCAAAAAACTCTCTTCTTTTTTTTCCCCTCCAAGTGGCATGAGATGTTTCAAAAGAAAGGTTAAAACCTTCCCTTGGGAAAGTGTTTGAAGACTTGGGCCCTACTGGGGCTGAAAATATTGCTAATGGGGAAACCTATGAAAGCTGTCAGCTCCAATTAACGTCTTCATTCCCAGGTAGAAAGAACTGAATATGCGTGACCTGAAAGTCAGGACCAAAGTTAATAGGGGCTTTGTTTTGCATGCCCCCCTCAGCTTTCTCCCCTGACTCCGGGGCCCTTACTTAAAAACCAGTCCTCTCTCCTTGATAGTGTCTTCTGTTTCACAGTAATCAAATAAAACCCAGAAAACAACAGGAGTTTTCACCTCCTTAATGAACTTCTAGTGGATCTGGTGAGTGGATAAGTGCTTGATAGAAGATGGAATGTGCCCTTTCTCTCAGCATGGATGGTCCCAGACTTTGGGTGGCCAGGAGGAGCTCTGGCTGTTCAGGCTGAACTTAACTTTATTTTTCTGTGCTCTCTGTCCCATAGCCCCTGACTCCCCTGTTATCTTGAATTTCTCCATCCTGACTTGCCATATGGTGCAGACAGTGGGAAACCTGGCAGCGGCAGGGCTCTCCCACAGCTCTCCTGCACATCACTTACAAGCGGCTGGTACCTGAGGGCTCTTTCATATCACTGAGTTCCTTAGGAGCTGAACATCTTACTTTGTAATGCATGAAAGTTGGGGTAAGCGTGAGGAGTGTGTGATGTAGCTTGGGAGTGAACAAAAATAATTGCCTATTGGTGACAAAGGCTTTTACCCTCCTACACCCCATTTCTTGGTCTATAGAGACAATATTACCCCAGACCCTGCTGAGAGAGTGGCCGTGGCATGGCAGGTGGGAGAGATGGGTCTGCCTGCACCATTTGCCCTCTGATTCCTTTTTTCCCCTACTGTTACCATTCTTTATTTCCTGAAATATGCTGCTGGATGTCCAGGGATGGGAGCTGCAAAGAGAAGCGCTGCACTGGTGCTGCCCTGCCCTGATGCAGGCAGCGTGGTGATTTTCCTGCCCAGTTTCTAATCTCAACTGCTCAGACACCTGGCTGGGCTGGACTGAGCTCAACTGTCCTTCCCTCTATTTATTCAGTATTTTTTTTTTTACCCTGAAATTTTCTGGGAGGATAAGGCCTGCACAGCTGAACTGTGAGCTTTATCTAGTGCATTCCCTTTCTCCCTCCCTGGTTTCCCATGGTTTTAATTGCCTCAGCAGCAGCACAGCTCCTGGCCCAGGGCAAGGATGCTGCAGAGCATTTCCCTTTGACAAAAGAACAAAAATATCTCCTTTTTCAGTGAGAAAATTATAGACATTTACTGGCTGTGGCAGTGCAGTCCATCACCAAAAAGAACCCCGAAACACAAAAATGTGGGATACATTAAGTTACCTATCTGTGTGATGGTGTTAGTGTTAAACCCCAAATGTGTGTGGCAGGCATAAAGAAGGCAGGCAGGATTTGGACCTGTGCTATTTGGGTCCCAGCAGATGTTGGCTTAACCAAGATGTTCCTTCCGTTCTGTGGGAGGGTTTTCCCATCCCACCTTGCCCAGCTGCTCCCTGCTGCTGCCAGGGAATGAATGGGATGGTGGGAGCCAGCAGCGACAAACCTGCTGGGGAACGCATCCCCTGGGCACGGTTGAGCTCGGCCACCCCAAGCTGGGCAGGGGGCTCAGCTGAGATGGCCGTCAAGAGAAGAGCCAGAGTTGCGATTGAAGGTGGGTTTATAAACCATGCAAGCTGCTGGGGTGTGATGGCACCTTAATTAATGACAAAGGCTCAGTAAAACTTCAAGCAGCACCAGTTCGCACTGGAGAGGCTCACTGCTGCCAGGGCTTCCCCTGCCTGGGGAAACCCAGGACAGAGCTGGCTCACCCAGGGCCTCATACCAGCACCAGGGCCCATTTTGCTGTTGATTGTTCCTTATTGGCATCTCTCAAGTCTCTCCCTCTTTCGTAGCCAAGGATTTCCAGGCTTTATGTGAAAACTGGCCATTGGTCATCAGCCCTGTCCCCCTTCTGGCACAGGTCTCTGCAGCACAGCCACCCAAAAAGGACAGCAAAGCTTTTTTTGACTGCTTTTGCTTTTCAGGGCTTGATAACTTGGCTGGGAACTCTCATTCCTGGGTGCAAATTGCCAGAGACATTGCTGATCAGAAGTAAAGCG